ATGTAAAAGAGACTAAAAGAGTGAGGGGTACTGAGGCTGTGTGTCGTAAAGTCCCCAGAGTTCTAATTATCACTGTATGAATTATTATATCTGTAACTTCTGAATCTCCCCCGGAGTCTCAGCTCTCCTGCCTCCACCCATATACACCTCTAGACCACCCTTCACTTCAGGCTATTTCTCCCTCCTACCTCCCTCCTTTATTTCTGTTCCTTCACTTCCTGCACCATCCAAAAACAGCTTTATGCTCCATTAGTCATTGAAAGTCTTTCAAGTCAGTTAAAAGTCTTTGATTCAATCTTTTTGGAATGTGACTATTAAATGTAAAAGCTTTAAGTTTTTTTTAGATAAGAAAATAGTACATGATATATAAAACATGTAGGGTTTTTTTTTGTTTTTTTTTACTAAATGGCACAAATGTGCTTAAGTTCAACATCCATCTCAACTGCTGGACCGCGACCTATAAGTGGGTTTGCAGCCCTTTGCTAAATATAGCATGACTGAAAAAAAACTTGTGGACTTTCTTTTGTACAGTCCTTAAAAAAGGTGGCAATAAGAACATGTAAAGATATATGTGAACTTTCTTATAATATGCAAATTAAGCATAGAGAAACACATGTAATGCATGGGATACTACTTTACTAAGATGTATACAAAGGTATTTTGTGAGCGTTGCATCCATGGATTTGGCGGAAACACTGGAGCAGAGTAGTTTTGTGTTTTTCATGTTTACACGCAAGCTGCAGATTTTCTGAAACAATGGAATCATTGCTCCATCTCTCTCTGTGTAACACATTTACAGTCGTTTGTATCACGAGATATGAGTCCAAATCATGAGATATGAGTCCAAATCCAAACCAAAAGCAACCTTTTTTTTCTATCTAAACTTTATAGAATACTAGTGCTATTTGTATGTTACTATGTTTTTTTTATATACAAGATGTTTTTAGTTCCACTGTATTTGTCTTAAAAACTATCTCAGTTCTACTCTTACGTGGATGAACAGTGGCAGTTGCAGATGAAGTTGACGCTTTAATTTTGATTAATTCATGAAAAAACATTTTTAATCGATTAAAAAATTAACGCAATTAATTGCATCCTCTTATGTACATACTAAAGTCCCAAGAGGGAACCTTTGTACTCCCTGTTTTCTGCACACCTATAAATCTGAGCTTAAAAACTATGGCTCAATCCAATCACCTGAAATCCGTATGGACATCTAAGCTACAGCAGAAGTGCGTCCGCAGTTGCCATAATAAGTGCTACCCGAACAGTGCTGGCAGTTAGGAAGGGACTAAGAATGTGGTTAATTTGTGTAAGTAACTGGCTTAGCAGGGAACAGTATACTCAGTGAAAATTATTTTAATAGCACTAAATACTCCGTATTGAATAGCAATCGTTTAGCTCCTGAAGGCAATGCTTTATGCAGAGCTGAACTTTATCTTCTGCTTTCAGGTAATATTGAATATCTTTTTGCCATATATATTTTTGTATCATATTTAGTTGAAGTAATTGTGCTATAATTAATGTTCATGGACTGTTCACGCTTCTATAGAAGTATTTCTCTAACTAAATGACTTAAAATATCATCATAATCATAATTTAACAAAACACAATTTTCACCTTATATTTAACAAGAGTAAGACACTAAATTTCTCCCTCCAGCCCTTTAGGGTAAATTGCAGCTAGCATGCAGATCCATGCATGCAAGTAGGAGTAAACAATTTTTCACACAATGGTTACAGTAAAGTCCAGTAACAATGTTCTCTATGCAAGGTTTCAAAAACTGAAAGCCTGGGGCAAAACATCTACAAACTTTGAATAAGTGCAGAGGAAAATAGAAACAAAATCCCAATGCAATTTTGGTTAAAAAAATAATAGCAATTCTAATTTTTGTCAAAATCGTGTAGTCCTAAAATATATCTGTAATAGCCTTTCATGTTTGTCTCAATGCAGCGCTGCCAACTTTTCACCAAACCTTGGAGTGAGACTTTGAAATAGTCTGGACAGGCACAGCTTGTCAGGTTTAGATTGAAAGGCTATGAGGATAGGTGCAGCTAAAGGTTGTAGGAATTCACTGAAACTAAGTGGCATAATGCTGAATTTTCATAGCATAGTAAATCTTACTGAATAACAATAAGTTATCCGTAGTTACGTATGTGGAAAATTTTTCACACAATTTCCATTTTTTTCTGTATTCTCGTGATTTTTCAGAGAATTCAGGTAAAGAAGAATGGGCCCTACTAAAATACTTGCATCTTAAATGTGCTGTAAACTAGGAATTTTACAACTGTGTTTATTGTATACAGTTCAAGTAAAACAAACAATAGGAAACAAATAAGTTATTACTGGATTACTGACACTAACGCAGGAACCTGTGCATTGAATCCCATGCAAACTACACTATGTATGAATATTGGTAATAGGCCAAGTATTTAAAAATCTTAACTCATTATCTAATTAGACTTTTATACAACTGAGAAAACAGCTAAAAAACTCAGATCTTCTAGGAGGCTGTAGATTCTATGGCATTGATTATTTTTCTAATATATTAATCTGTCGATTATTTTTTCAATTAATCGATTAATTATCAGAGAGCCAAAAGGTCCTTAAAGAAGATTTTTTTAACCAAATCAAACCAGGTGAAGCTAAAACTTTTCCACTTCAGGAGTTCTGGATAGAGCATATAAACAGATGAAAAAGATTTTTTATTTCAAATGTAAAATGTTTTCATATTTGCTTTACAATTTTGGTATAATTACTCCTCTAAGTGAGTCACTCTGTCAGCTAAAGATGTGTTTCAGAGTCTCTATATTGCAGCTAACGATTAAGCGATTACTAAATTAGTTGATGATTATTTCAATAATTGATTACGGTAATCATGATTGATTGGTGGTAGATTTTATAAAAATCTCACCATGACACAAGACAGCACTTCTCTGGATGTTTCATTTTAGAAAATGTAATGGAAAATACATTTTGAAACATATTAAAGCACCTGAAATGTTCTCCAGTGTTAGCACTAAGGTTGTGTTGAAAACAAGGACTGGATTTTTATCAGCATTGTATTTTTACATATAAATAAGTGGAATGGAGTTGAGTTCTAATGTCTGTCAGAGTGTGAGCGTGTGAAGACACTGAGATGCAGAAGTCTCACGCCCAATAGGTTTGAATTGACAGCCCTGATTAATGTCACTCCATCAGCCAATCACAGCAGAGACTACAACCTTCTACCCTAGTCTGCAACACCTCTGCCATAAGGTGCATTTTTCAAATATTATGTATAAGACGTGGGCAGAGGTAAGGCAAAAAAAACAACCATAAACCTTCCCCAATACAGATGAATAGAATGTCACCCAAGTGGTCAGTGCAAAGACACCCTGAAGGACAGGGCTAAATGTGGGAACTAGCTCTGGGGGTTTTGTGGGTTGTGGTCATGACATGAGTTACAGCTTAACGGTTACTTTCTTGAATGTTCATGATCACCAAAATACACTATATTGCCAAAAGTATTTGCTCACCTGCCTTGACTCACATATGAGCTTAAGTGACATCCCGTTCCTAATCCATAGGGTTCAATATGACGTCGGTCCACCCTTTGCAGCTAGAACAGCTTCAACTCTTCTGGGAAGGCTGTCCACAAGGTTTAGGAGTGTGTTTATGGGAATTTTTGACCATTCTTCCAGAAGCGCATTTGTGAGGTCGCACACTGATGTTGGACGAGAAGGCCTGGCTCTCAGTCTCCGCTCTAATTCATCCCAAAGGTGTTCTATCGGGTTGAGGTCAGGACTCTGTGCAGGCCAGTCAAGTTCATCCACACCAGACTCTGTCATCCATGTCTTTATGGACCTTGCTTTGTGCACTGGTGCACAGTCATGTTGGAAGAGGAAGGGGCCAGCTCCAAACTGTTCCCACAAAGTTGGGAGCATGGAATTGTCCAAAATGTCTTGGTATGCTGAAGCATTCAGAGTTCCTTTCACTGGAACTAAGGGGCCAAGCCCAGCTCCTGAAAAACAACCTCACACCATAATCCCCCCTCCACCAAACTTTACACTTGGCACAATGCAGTCAGACAAGTACCGTTCTCCTGGCAACCGCCAAACCCAGACCCGTCCATCAGATTGCCAGATGGAGAAGCGCGATTCGTCACTCCAGAGAACGCGTCTCCACTGCTCTAGAGTCCAGTGGCGGCGTGCTTTACACCACCGCATCCGACGCTTTGCATTGCACTTGGTGATGTATGGCTTGGATGCAGCTGCTCGACCATGGAAACCCATTCCATGAAGCTCTCTGCGCACTGTTCTTGAGCTAATCTGAAGGCCACATGAAGTTTGGAGGTCTGTAGTGATTGACTCTGCAGAAAGTTGGCGACCTCTTCGCACTATGCGCGTCAGCATCCGCTGACCCCGCTCCGTCAGTTTACGTGGCCTACCTCTTCGTGGCTGAGTTGCTGTCGTTCCCAAACACTTCCATTTTCTTATAATACAGCTGACAGTTGACTGTGGAATATTTAGGAGCGAGGAAATTTCACGACTGGATTTGTTGCACAGGTGGCATCCTATCACAGTTCCACGCTGGAATTCACTGAGCTCCTGAGAGCGACCCATTCTTTCACAAATGTTTGTAAAAACAGTCTGCATGCCTAGGTGCTTGAATTTATACACCTGTGGCCATGGAAGTGATTGGAACACCTGATTCCAATAATTTGGATGGGTGAGCAAATACTTTTGGCAATATAGTGTATAAAAAACAAGACTTCAGTAGGAAATATAACATGATGCCCATCTGTCAGATCAACATTACCTTTTGAAAACAACCTCTTTTAAAAACTCAGAGTTAGTTTTTTTTTTCTGTTTATGCTTCTCACACCAATCTGTTATCATTTGGTTACACTGTTTACAGAAGAGGACAGTTTATATTTTATCTGTTAACTGTGATGACGTTAATGTTTCTGTTTTTGAAGTACACTCACATTCAAAACCCTGCATGTGTAAGTGCCTTACCTGGTATGGATACAGAGTAACTCCTCCATTTGTGCGGTTCTGCTGCTGATGAGCCTGTAAAGCAGCTGCACTCAGTATGGCTCCTCCACCAATATTACTTGGACTGTTTACTCCACTCACTGGTTGCAGTTGGGCGCTGGCTTTTCCTGAACTAGGGGAGCTATTCCTGCGATCTACCCCTGCTCCAAGACCCAGGGAGCTAGGTTTTGATCCCAGTTTGTTTCCTGCCCCTTGGAGCTGCTGATTTGTAGGACCACAGCTGGATGTTTGCACCCCTGAGGGACTCTGTCCATGGTTTGGGCTTGGCGTTGGTGTCTGACTAAGGCTTGGAGAGGGAAACTGCAAGGATGAGTGAAGAGTGTATGAGGCTGTCACAGAGGAGGAGGGAAGAACTGTAGGAGACCATTCTCGTGAAAGTTGACTTCCTGGTACTCCTGAGGCTCCTGATGGTCCCGTGTGTCCATGAGATCCATAGCGAGCCGGAGGGGAAGAAGTAGGTGACAGATCCCACTGATCGAGGGTGAGGACCATGCGCACAGCTTCCTGTTTGAGCTGGGTGAGATGAGTGGAGCAGACATCACAGCGACTGTCTTGCTCATTCCACGCCCGCCGAGAGCTGTTTGGCACCTGAAGCTTGTCATGGAGCAGGAGTGAGAAGGAGGGATCCTGGGAGGAGAGATGAGGACACAAAGGTTAGATAAATGAGGTGGAATTATTCAGTGTTTATCCTAAAGGAACACTACAAAAAACATTAAGACGGAGGAAGAAATGTTCAACCGCCCTGCTAAGAAATCTGAAAAGATCGTTAGGGAAGAAAGAGGCATTTTTATTTAAAGAATGTTTACACCATTTTACTAATATGCAGCAAAAGTTACAGATGCTAACAAATTTCGCCTTATTTTTTTTACATGTCTTTCTTCATATAATTTGTGTGTTTCTTTACTTCAGATATTGATTACAAACTAACATGTAAAAAAAATACAACCACTCATGTTTAACTGTTTGTGTACCAAATAGTTGGGCTCAATACCTTTGAATATGCATTATGATGAAGTTCCTCTGTCAGATAAATAAATAATCAGATAAATTATGAAAATAACCACCTTCTAACAGCTATTAAAATGTTTTTATCAAATTCAAATTTTAGGATGGACATTTTGTTTTGGTCTGATACATTAGTCTAATCTCAAATATCTTAATTTCATTAGCAATATAGATGTATCTATATCTGTCAAGTTATAGGTTTTGTGTGGTTTAGAGTTGGACCAAAATGTGGACAGGAACGAACATGTTGAAAGTGTTTAACAAAACTAAAACAGGAAAGTTAAAAGTCTAAAACAGGGCAAACAGACAGACAAAAAAAAATGTAACAGAAGAATCCACACGGAAACCTCTAAACAACGGGGTAAGACTAATAGTGATCAAAGATAAATAACTCCAAACGTAAAGAGAACAGATGACAAGAAAAAAAAAGAGATACTGGACTAAAAAGTATGAAATTACAATAAAAATAGGGGAACATCAAACATTGCAAGACCAATTAAATAAAAAAACAAATCTTTCACTCTATGAGTTAACAAAATAACAAAAATCTAATTTTCTGTAATGTTGTCATATATTCAATAATCTAACAAGCTTTGAAACCAGAAACAACAAATTTTATTTAATGCGAAAAGCTTTTATTTGTTTCAAGCTTTGCAAAATATATTCATTTTCCCTAAAAAGCCAATAAAAGCAGCATGATTAAGAGGTAGGAGCTTAAACAAGATTACAGTCATCAAACATGCCTTTTTCCAAAGAAATAGCAGTTTAAACAACATTCTTCAAAAAATATAATTTATTCTTTTAGATCTTTTTTCCTCTTCTGCTATTTATTAATTTCATTAATATACAATTAATGTACCCCTTTATCTAAAAAGGTAATAAATAAAATACTAAAAGTAGGTATGGAGCAATTAAAAAAATATTTTAAGAAATCTCAAATGAAAGCATATCCTTTTTGCAGCCATTTCAACTATGCATATAAATATTTCAGAATAACTTATTGACATCATAGCTGTTTTTATAACAACAATCTGACATGTTGCTAAGTGTGGTTGAATTTTTGTGAGGTATTTTTTTTTCTAAATCCTAAAGACAGATACCACAAGTATGGAAAACAAGAAGCATTTGTTTCAGTAAATCAAAATCAAAAGTATTACATATGTGTTTTTTATAGACAAATAATTTGTTTTGGTGATGAGGTACCACTTATTAAGTAACCAAACAGTTGGTATGATTAAATAATGGATTATAAAATGTTAATATATAAATACAAGTTATCTATGGAGAATACCTGTCATGAAACGGGACAGATGGACCCAGTATTCAAGGTGAGACAGTCAGAAAGAAAGTTCAAAATGGTTTTGACAAAGTGACAAATACTGATCGGTTGTTGTTTACTCAAACTGTCCTTGTGTACTTCAGAAAAAAAAACCAAGGCAGTTAAATTTCTCTTTATTACCAACAAAATTAAAAAGGAAGAACACATAAATAAAAAAATACCAAGCCCTCCAGCTTTTTACGAGTAATACTAGAATTAATCATAGGTCTTTAGGATCCTCAGGCAATGTGATCAAAAACTTTGTTTTTTAAATACTAATCGTTCTCCAAATGTATCATAATTTAGAAAAGTTTACCTCTATTTTCTAATGTATATAATTTTTTTCATTTGTTTCATATTGTAGCTTGGAGAAGACCTTAAAATAAGGAAAAATCTAGAAATAGTGCCAGAACAGCAAAAGTGTCTTATACTGACGCTGTGACACACTGAACACACTTTAAACTTTATTTACCCAAGTAAACACATACTATGTATGTCACTGGGTCTATAATAAACAACAAGAATACATCATATAAGCAGGTGGACTTGATGCTTCAAAGAAATATTTTTTTCCCCCATGTAGACCCAAATAAAATGCATATTTAGATGCATGAATATATGTAAAAGGCGAGAAAAGCTGTGATGGCAGCTTAAAGGGCTCTGGGATAGTGCCGTTAGATTTTGTTACCTTTGATGTTTACCTCAATGTGGATTATGACACTGCTACATTTCATCCTCTTTTGAAGCAATGTAAGAGCACTTAATGTTTTTCAGTCCAAAATTATACATTTATGAAATTAGGAAAAGGATAAAATTGTTCAGCAAACAGGATTTCAGTTTTGCGAAGAGGTGAGGATATCTTCTTACCAGTCAGATATATACTTAGTATTCACAGCAGGATTTACTATAAGTTCAATTTCCTGGAAATCTCTGCCAGGATTATGTGATAACCTACTTGATGCCATGCGATGCACGCTGTGCAAAACTAAGCTTCAAGCAATAAATAAAATACATCGAATTTCCGAAAAGATTAGCAGAATGAATTTAAAAAGTTTGGTGTACTAGTGAATGAAGAGTGCATGTTTATTGCACTAAAAAAAAAAAAAAAAAAAATAGTAAAGTTTTTGTTTTTGCAGGATTCTTCTTGAATTTAACAAGACTGGGATAAAATATTAAGATAATAGATTAATAAACAAAAAATAGACCAAATACATATCAGTTTACCCCTGGTGAATGAATGTAGACCTAATCTGTGATGAGCTACATGTAGTATCCTATCCTGCAACAAAATATTCAAATTCAGATTCAAAATTGTCAGGCCTAATTAATGGATAACAATCCATCAATTACAAGTATGCACATTGCATTTTAAACAAGCTAATTAATCCAAGCACACATGCAAACACTGCTTATGACATCTATTATTAATTATGCAAGTAAAAATAATCTTTTCAAAGGTACACCTTTTGTAGAAAATGTTAAGACATAGAAATCAATTTATAAAGGTCGTTAACCGGTTATGGAGTCTGCAGGTGCCCCTGATCTGGACTCTGACAACTTTAAGCTTTGAAACCCTTAATGATGCCGCAGCATATTGCAGCTTGATTTAATCATAGCAACCGTCTGCTGGTTTGCAGGTTTAGGTGTTACTGCTAATGCTGTAGTGTAGCACCCAGTGTGTTTGAATAAACACGATGCACCATTAGTGAATGAGTGTATAGGTTTGTGTATAAAAAAACAGTCAATTATTATTCTAAGGTTTGGGCTGAGAGTGCACTTTGTGCTTTTCAAGACTAATTGGACCCACTTGTCCAGGACGTAGCTCCACTAAATCCCCTGCCATCGCTTTTTGGTGGAAATATCTGTTAACAAGCAAAAGCATACGTACAGATACACAGATACAAATGTCTGATAAAAATAATAAAAAAAACAACAAAAAAATGAGTGTCTGAGCTTCGCTTTGCCTCTGTGAGGGAATATTTTCAAAATGTATTTAAAGTTTATCTGAGAGAATTTTTTTTTTATGGATAAAACTGTTAAGTATTTTAAGCAAAATAATTCTAGATGGTTTAATGATTTAAGAACGGACTAATCCAACAAACTATCTGGAGTAGGTGAACACTGAAGGAAAATAATAAACAACCCTTGAAAATTCCCAAATATAGTTGCACTAAAACAACAAACATCAGCGATTATGTAAAATTGCCTCAGCCTTTCCCTCAAAAAATGTTAAAAGGAATCGCTTTTATTTTTTTCAAACTTAAACTTTATTTCTGTTTTTCATCTACTCCAGCAAACTGTCCACATTTTTCTAAAACTTTGAATGATCAAAGATCTAAATGGTTCACATTAAGAGCAGATGCCATTCCCTGAAAATCACTGCAAAAGACAGGGAAGAATCTGCAGATAGAGATGTTAATCAAAATGATGTGTTGGCTTTCTCTGTTTATCGACTTTAAATCAATACATGAATTATAATCTCACAGAGCACCCTTGTGTGTGTGTATATGTGCCTGTAATTATTAAGCCTATGATAGATGCCTTTCAACACATCAAAACAAACAGATATGAAGACACTGAGAGACAATTGAAAGCAAAACCCACCAAAACCTTTAGAAACAATTAGAAGTGATTTATTAAGCCTTAGTCTGTCTGTAGAAATATTTCACAGTTAGTTTACTCCTCTATTCATTTTTTTCTACATCATCCTATGGGCTGATAGAACAGCTTACATCCTTTCAGTCAGAGCATAAATAAGCCTCTGTTGCTAAATCAGGAACTTTCTATTCATCAAAACACCCATTTGTCCATGTTTATGTCTGAGAGCTTATGTGGATACAAAGCAACACTTCATCTAATGGTAAAATACCCCTTCTTAATGCGAAAGCTGCCTCTTTGCGGCTATATCAACAAACCTGGACCACAAGACATACCCACACATACACAGAGGGACCCTAAGTGAGTGTAAGTGTGTGCTTGCATGGAGATGTGTTGGGGCGTGTGTGTGTGTGTGTGGTGGTGTTTAACAATAAAGAGTACCTTGTAATTTGTGCAAACCAGTTGGAGTCAAAACAGCACTTTGCCACAAGAGGGACCGAGGTCAAAGCTGATGCTAAATGTACCGGACCACAGGGTTTTACTGTGTTCAAGTTTTTATACAAGCAACCTAAAGTATTTACATAAGCTTAAGAGTAGTGGAATACCAGCAGTTATAATAACAACTTTTTAATGTTATTCTATCATCTACTGGCCCTCAGTGTACAGGTAAGGATGTTAAAGCCCCAAAGGTTTGCAATAAGATACAGTA